TAAAACAATTTCTGTTGAACATTTGGCACGAAAACATTTCAAATTTCAGTCTGATAACTACACACACCGGAAAAATCTAGGGATATCATTTTAATAAAGTTAAAAATAAATGTTTTGAATAAACAACGACATATTTGTAGGCCGATTCTTTCTACTTCGACTGAAACGAAGTAGCCACACTAGTTATTTCTAAATTTGGGATATTTGCAGAAGTGTTTGTGCATTTTTTGTCAAATGTATAAAAAGCACTTAGCATCAATTATTCGAATTTAACCTGTACTGGCTATGTTTTTATGATAACTGGGCAGAATTCATTCAAATAACTCTGTTTAGTATTAAACGACATTATGGAGCGTAGACATCTTAACAGAGACGAAATGCTAAGGGCCATTAAATGCAACGCAAAGCGTAATATCGCGATTATCGCGATGTTGCTGAAAGGCACACAGGGCGACATCGCATTACTACCCCTCAGCAAGATAGACCAGCACTAGAGCTTAGTTTAATTCTCCAGGAAACACATAATGTAACCGTTAGTCCTGACACTGTTCGCAATAGATTAAGAGAGGTCAACTTAAGAAGCAGACGCCCCTGGAGAACTCAACCCTTAAAGAGAGGAAATCGAGAGGTACGATATTTGTGGACTCAAGATCATGTTCAGTGGTCGAATGAACAATGGGCCAATGTTCTCTTCACGGATGAGTCACGCTTTGGAATTCATCCGGATTCGAGAAGGCTTAGGGTATGAAGAGAACCGGGAAATCTTATTCGGATGGATCATGTTCAGGAAGTGCACAGTTATGGTCTGGGGAGGAGTCCAGTTAGGCCGAAAAACCGATCTCGTTTTTCTTGAAAGGTTTCTAACAGGAATCACATATCGTGATTTAATTCTTGAGCCTGTCGTGTTACCATATGCCAATGATTTTGGGAGAAACTTCATTCTCATGCATGACAATGCAGGGCCTCATACAGAGTTTATCAATGCTCATCAATTAAACATCTTACCCTGGCCGGCACAATCTCCTGACCTCAACCCCATCGAGCACGTATGGGACGCGGTCCAAAGAAGAGTTTTGAGAATGGGTATGCCTCCTGAAACTCGTAGGGATCTGGTTCGGGCCGTGAAAGCAGCGTGGCAGGCTGTACCTCAAGAAGAGATCGACAACCTGATCAGGAGCATGGAGAGACGATGTAGGGCTGTAATGAACAGTAAAGGAGGCCATACCCTTTATTAAGTAAAATTGGTTTTATCTTTTTTTTTTAATTCACAGTTTAGAATAAAAAAAAATGTGTGTATTTTTTTGAGTTCAATAAAAATCAAGGTAAATTTGAAAAATTCGGTAAATTTCGCATTTTTATTTCCAATACTTCCTGTAAACTATCTGTTTATTTTAATTTTATTATATCAGAAATGCAAATAATAAAATTACTGACGATGGCTGGATAAAATTGTGATATCCCTAGACTTTTCCGGTGTGTGTATTTAGTCAACATATTTAATTTATGTCAATGATGACAGGTATTGATAATTTCTATTCCAAATATCTCGAAAACCATTACACGTAGCGGTTTTTACCAAGAGACCCTTTTCACGTAAAAAGCGTCGTAAATGTATATTTTTTGACACAGTAGTTTTATACAGGTACGGACGAAAAGTTATTACTCTTTAAACCAGTTAAAAATGTGTAGGTGGTGCCCTCTACTAGTAGGAGTCATATTGACATCAAAATCAAATTTATAATGTCAAAAAACTCCCAGACACAAGTTTTCATCCAAATATTGACGTTACTTCAGGAATTATTTGGAAAAAATCGAAATAAAAATGAAAATTCTACACCCTGTATCTCCGAAACTAAGCATTTTAGGATATACATTTATACGAACTTTTTTACTTGTTTTTATTTGCAGAATATGCTGCCGAAGTTCCCCTGTAAATGTCACTTTCATATTTAAGCAAAATTATTAAATATTGAATTTTCCTATATGTACGTTTCCAATATTTAATATTCTTAACTCTTGAACGGTGTCTTCATAACATTATAACAAAATTGAAAATAATATTGTACTGTTTTAACTGAGAGGTACAATAATAAAATGACCTATTTTCGTGCAGTAGTTCCAATGTTATCTTGTTGTTTTTATTGCTTAGTACTGTTTCTACCTGCGGAAAATAATTGCTGTTTTATCAAATCCATTTAGCCAGGTGATTTTGCAATAGTAATACATTCCTACATTGCGCTAAAATGACTAACACTTATAAAAATGCAATGCACATAAAGCGGTACCGGCTGTAGACTAGGGATGTCGCTGTTTGAGAAAAAATATCGATATTTAATTTTATCGATATTTTATTTTTTATGTTATACAAAAATATCAATCAATTGAATTGATTGATAGTGCGTTGCAACCGATACCATGTGAATGTGAAGAATTCTGTAGTAGTGAAACATCTAAAGCTTTAAATGTTCGAAATAAAGAATATAAAGATCATTTACAGGGTGTTATATCATAGCATCTCTCCTGGGGAGATTCCCCACGTAAAAACAAAGATTTATTTTTTATGTCAACATAGGTCCGATTCTGCTTTGTTTCGTAGCTACAGGGTGTTAAAGTCTTAAGATTTTTTCGATTTATTATAATTTTCTTCCAAATACTTTTAGCGTTTCGAATGAAATTTTGAGAGTAAAAGTTACTATAAATGCGACATATTTTAATGCTAAAAAAGTGTCGACATATTCACCAGGGGCGTGCATATGGGTTATCACTGGAATATTTTTCTAAAAAAAATATGTACGCAACAGACTTTTTAACATTGGAAATGTTTATGTTCGTATATGAGGGCCAAATTTCCAGTTTTCCTGATCTACTACTAGAGTCTACTAGTCTAGTAGTCTCTATCGAGATCTAGGGCTCAGCTACGTCGAAACACCGGTTCCCATTAGAACACCGAAGTTAAGCGACCGACGTAAGGCGGTACTAATGGATGGACGGGTGACCGGTTCGAAACTCTGTATCGTGCTGTTGTCCCAGAAAAAGGCAAAAGTGTAAAATCTATTGACACACACTGCTCATTCACGCCGGTTCGAGGCCGGATGAGATCGGATATCTCGTGAGTAAGAATCGATTTAGACACTTGCCAAGTCGGTAGGCCATTGACCATAATATGGCCGAGGACCGCGGTTCGGATTCCGCGTAAACAAAGTAGGCCCCGTCCAGATTAGCCTTGGCAGCAAAAAGGAGACGTTAACTGAAATCTTTACTTTACTTTTTCTATCGAGATCTTGATGTATCGATATTATCTAATACATTCCTACTGTCGACTTTAACACTAACTTCCCAGAAATGTTAATTTATCTTCATGCACGGCGTTAACTGCCTCTCAAGTACTATTTCTTCTGCACACACGACATATTCCTAGACGTTTTTAGGACACAAGTACGAAAATTATTTATTTGACGTAGACTAGAGTGACGTGAGACATAAATGATAATTGTTACGCAATCGCGTACTACAAACCAGTATTCTAGGTCGTAAACCTCTGCAGACGTTCTCAAGGTTTGGTAACTCTATCTACGATCGTTCTTACCTGACCATCGAGTTCGAAGAGTTAGAATTAACAATAGTTAAAAAAGTGCATTGAATGTAAGCTCTCTAAAGCTGACCTGACAAATTTAGTATCGCCATAAACAGTTGTCGTATCCCTGCCTTGATTAATTAGATTATAATATTAGTTTTAGGAAAGTTTTTATCTGTTTTAAGTTACACCACTGTTAAAATTTGGTTGTGCATCTAAAAGACGATCTGTAACAAGTTTTTCCTACTATAAAGTGCTTTGATTAATTAAGGCTTGATTAAGGTTTGCAGGGCTTCAGCATTTGCCATAAAATAGCGAGCAATTTGTTACAAAACTATATAGATTATATATCATTGTAATCACAAAATTTCAATCTATTTCCGTATTGTAACGAAATTTTAAATTATGGCTTTATTTTCAAGAAAATTTAGTCCAAACATTCTTCATTTGTGTAAAAATAACTATAGCCAATTTTACATAAAACGTGATATTCCGAACGCCTCTTTTACTGCTTTTTCGGACTAGTGAAATGGACTCTTAATGAAATTTACCTTAAGAATATTAAAATTATATTGTACACCTCTGGTTATTGGGAAGTCGGAGACCGTATTTAAGGAACTAAAGGAAAACACTCCAGGCACTCATTCATTCACTTGCTGAATCGCTCATTTTCGTTCACTCTCAAACACTCTTCCAAAATGGAGCCTTAACAAACATAAACAACTCTCTTCTACTTCGGCAGTCCCTTTTTTATTTTTGACGCATTCTTGACAGTTACATTCGGCAATTATATATTTCTTTGTAAAACTAATTGTAAAAGCTTCCTGACAATAAAGTACATAATAATTCATAAAAGTGTAAACTATTATTAAAAAAGCAACATTAAAAGAAGCAGAAGAAACATCAACAAAAGCTACAACCAAACATAAGAAAAAATGTCAACAATTAGCAGATCCGTAACATTGGCAGAGTTGCTTACATTTTAGTGACAATGGTAGTTCAACTTAGAACCCCTATACAGTGAAGTGAGAGTTTTGAGTTTTTTTTATCAATCTTGTACGGTTGACTAATTGATCAAATGATCTGGAATGACTGTTGACTCTGTTGTTTCTTTGTCTCTATATTTTTGTTTACCTTTCGATTGAAGAATTTTCTATATATTTAATTTTAGAGGAAAGAAAAGAAACGGTACATACTAGCGCACAACCAGAGGATATTGGTACCCAGGTACAGTATCAAGTTTATTATAATGCTTTTCTTAGCTTTAAATCAAATGTTTTTTTGGTGTTTGCGCGATCCATACCACTTTTTTTCTCGCTAGTTCGTGCATCAAGTCATGGTCAAGGTCATGTCGTATCAAGGCCGTAGTGTGTCACAGCCTTGAATTTTTCCTATATATATTAGTCGGTTTAGAACGTTTTTCTACGTTGTCCGATATCCAATTTCCATCCTGTTCTATTCGTACAATCCTCTGTTGACAGGTTTCTTTCACTCATCGCTTTGTGTACGCTTTTTTGCCATTCCAGTTTCGGTCTTCCCTGTTTTCTTCTGCCCTTTGGTTGCCAATTGATTATTTTCTTGGGCCATCTAGTGTCCTTCATTCGCTCTACATGTCCGTACCAGATGAGCTGCTTTTTCTCTATATCCTGTGTTATCGTACCTTCTATACCCATTTGTTGTTTTATGGTATTATTTCTTATTCGTTGTTGTCTTGAAATTCCCATTGATCTTCGAATGACATCCATTTCTACGGCCTCTATCCTCTTCTTGTATCTCTCAGTTATTCTCCATGTTTCTGCTCCATACAGGAGGTTGCTCTTTATCATGGTTTCATATATATTAAATTTTCTTCGCTTTGTTATTGATTTGCTCCATAAGATTCCATTTAGACATCCGATTATTTTTTCGCGTTGATAATCCTTTTCTCTATTTCTCTGCCGTCAGTTCCAGTGTTATCAAATGTAATTCCCAGGTACTCATACTCTTGACACTGCTTAATTTCGTGACCGTTGTCCAAGTTCAAGTTTCCTTCTTGTGCGCCTATACATAGATATTTTGTTTTGGCTATGTTAACTGTCAAGCCCCATTCTCCGTATTCTTCAATAAGTTTTCTTAGCATATATTGCATATCATCTTTGTCATTGGCAACTATTATTTGATCGTCTGCGAATTGAAGTGTGAACAAACATTCATTGTCAATCTCTATGCCCATACCACGGATCTTTCTTTTCCAATTTTTTAAAGCGACTGCAACGTATATTTTAAAGAGAGTAGGGGAGATGCAACAACCTTGTCGCAAGCCTTTGTCGGTTATAAATGTTTCTGTAAGCTCTTTTCCATTTTGCGTCCTTATATAGTTCCTTAAGAGCTGTTATATAAGTATGGTTGATCGTAGATTGTTCTAGTACCCTCCATAGTCTTGATATTGGGACAGTGTCGTACGCTTTCCGTAAGTCAACAAATGTTATATGTGTGTCCAAGTTTCTTACCGATCTTTTTTCTATAACTTGTTTTAAACAGAACACGTTATCTGTACACGACCTTCCTGCTCTAAAACCATTCTGTTCTTCTTCCTCCTTTTCTCTATAATCTTCTTCTATGAGATCACGTAAAATTCTACCATATAACCTGCTCATTGTGCTCGTCACTGATATACCACAGTAGTTACTGCAGTCCAGCTTATTGCCTTTTTTATGGATCGAAGAAATATAAGCCAGCTTCCAGTCTTCTGGAACGGGATGTCCGTTTAAGCAAATATTGAAAATTAATGCCAAGCTTCTAAATAGTTTCTGCGTACCATTTTTCAACATTTCGGAGTATATTCCTTCTGGGCCGCTTGCTTTGCCTGATTTTAAGTTCTTGGCAGCCATTCTTATTGTTTCTTCCGATATTTCCACTACTTCTCCCTGTACGTCGATATTTCTTGGTGAATCAATTAAGTACTCTTGTCTAGATTCCTGAATTTTTCCTCCCATACCAAAAATATATACACATGTATATTCACGCGTTAATATGATAAAAAGATAGCAATAATATTTGTTGAGAACAATAAAACTCAATATTTAGTTACAAGTTTAACCCTCAACTGGCGTGGTGAATTTTCGTAACGCTTATGGCGTGCTGCCATTTTTTTTTCAGTTAAAATACACGATGAAGAGGTTTTATTAAAAGCTTGTTGTTTTAACATTGTTTACAATATATTCAAACTTGTGAACAAACAATTTCATTAATTTTCAACAAATCAATAAGAACGGACACGAAAATAAAATAAAACGTATTTTTTAGGAATTTTTGACAACAGACATATAACTTGGCTAAGAAATCCATGGAAATTAAAAACATATACATTTTATGATTTTACCGTATTATTAAAAGTACAAACAACTGAAATGTGAACCTAAAGTAATAAACATAAATTATTTTCAATGAAAACTGCAAACCTTGAATGTACATAACTTTTTCAAATACAGTTCATGCTAATATAGGATCTGCATTTGCCGCACATGGATCGTGCACATTTGATTCATGAGATTTTTGTTTTTTGTCATTTCTTCATTGACATATGGTTGCCATATATCACATCTCTTTCTTTTCTGGGATTGATTATTCAATTTTCTCTCTTCTGTAAGTAAGAGATTCAGAATCGGAGTTATTGTTACTCTTCGGAGAAAAATCAATGTATCGTTGGTCTTCATCTCACTTAAGCCTCTTTAAGTTCATCAAACCACTCAATTAATGCTTCCTCAAAATTAGCGTCCCATTGAGGCATACTTTTTAGACTACCCGCCATCCTAAAAATGTTACATTCTTGGCGTGGTGGTGCGACACAGACCCCAATGAAATTTTAGCCCCCGCTGTTAGGAACAATACTTGATAAAATCAATTTTCAGCCTTTAACAGTTGCATATTGGTACCCTAACTTAAAGGTAAATGGCGCGGCAAGGCCTAATTCTTAAGCGTAAACATTTTACAGAGGTTTAAATAGCACTTGGGTTGAAGGTTAACGTTAAAATTTATGTATTAAACGTATTAATTAAAGTCAAAAATGTGGAGTTTAGCAGGTTAACACATTTCATTGACGAAATGTTAAATTTGTTAAGAGAGTTTGCTAAAGATGGCACAGGTACTCTCTAACTCTCCAAACCCGTTGGTTGGTGAAGAATCATCCTTTCGTTTCTCAGAGGTTGTTGTCCACGAAGCGACCAACCGTATTTCGGTTGTACTTTATGCAAACAACCGCTAGAAATTTCGTAACAACAATAGCAAGCGACGTCACGACGTAACATGACGTAGAGATAGTTATTTTTAAAGTGAACTACTTTTATCTTCAGTAGATATCAACTTTAAAAAAAATATCGAAGTATAATTTTGGTTGAAGTATTACATCAATATTATTATACCTATTGGCACAGAATATCTAGCTACGCAACAGAAGCCTCGTTACATGTATAAAATTGTAGGTAGCAAAAGGAGACAGGCTTTTAAAGCCTGTCTCCAAATCAGATATTTTGATGCAGTAGTTTCGCTACTACATAATAGAGGGCAATAAATTTAAAAGAAAACAGTTTTCTACAAACAAAATTTAAAAGAATTTTGTGCAGTGTTGCCATTGTGTAATTCATATCGTAATACTTCCTGATAAAGCCTACCTTCAAATTTGCTACATCATTTAAACATATTAAAATAGATCAGAGCTGTTTTTTTTTCAATTTGCCATGTTAGTTGGAATTACATCTTATGAGCTAAATTACAATCACTTCCTGACGTTTGATTGTATAATTCAATCCTGAATTTTCATTGTAATTCGGCGACAATATAATAAGTATTGTTCTACTATTATGATACCACTTCCTGACGTTCGATTGAGTTCATACCAAGTTCATATCGTATAATGGGGAAAAACGGCGTTGAATGAAATGCATATCGCTGTCATTTTATATGTAAATTTATATGGGAAATGTCATCGATCGTCTTTTTCCCGCCAACTGGACGCCGTTTTTTTCGGTATCATACGGTATTTGATATATACTATTTTTCATGACATTACAATATTATGGTACCATGAAGCATATCAAGTGATACCATAATATAGTACCATATTACGATACATGGCGTTCAATTGGGCTTAAACTTGATATACTATATCTTCAGTGACATTGTAATATCATGGTACCATGGAGCATATAAAGTGGTACCTTCTATAGTACCATATTTGATGACATAGCAATATTAGGTACATGGCGGCAATAGGGCTTAAACTTGGGATACTACGTATTTTCGGTGACATTGTAATATGATGGTACTATGATGCATATAAAGTGGTACCTTAATATAGTACCATATTACGAACCATTTCCTGGCGTTCGATTGGGCTTAAACTTGGTATACTACGTATCTTCGGTTACATTGTAATATGATTGTACTATGATGTATATAAAGTGGTACCTTAATATAGTACCATATTACGATACCATTTCATGGCGTTCGATTGTTCTTAAATTTGGTATACTACGGATCTTCGGTGACATTGCAATATTATGGTACCTTAAAGCATATCAAGTGGTACCATAATATAGTACACTATTATGATATCATTTCCTGGAGTTCGATTGGGCCCAAATTTGGTATACTTGCGTTTCTTTATAAAAATTTGTTTAATTAATAATTTTAATTTATTATACGAATTTTAATTTATTGTTCGATGTCGTGACAGCAACTTTTATGCCGAACTAATATATTATTAATTATACCCGTGTCACTTTTTAAAATCTACCTAGGTCTATATAAATAACGTGGCAAACGGAAGAAATTTGTTATTATAGTATTTTTTAGTCAGTTAACGTTTTTTGTACTGCATTTTAATAAATTATTTCCATTATTATTAAACTTATATTTCATTACTAACGTTCCAGCATTAATAAATATCACTATCAATCGCCGTGTATATTATTAATTTTAAAGGTAATTAAAGGTATTTTCTTAGTTAATATAACAATAAGGGAGTGTATATTAAAAATGTATATGTTTTGTAATAATATACTTAAAACTATTTTAATAGCCAAAGGAATAATTAATATAAGTGTATCTGACAAGAAAAGAAGAATAGAAAGAAACACATACTGCATTATACACAGTAAAAAGAATGGGATGCCAATTCAAGTCTTTTTGAATCTGGCAACTGTGCATATTTAACCGAGCTACAAGGCAGTCGACGAGCCGTCGATCCAAAACCCAAAGTTCAAAATTTCTAATTATATTCTGATTATGATATTGTCGCGCCATCTAGTATTCTATTTGTGCAATTTTAGCTCTTTCATTTCGAGTATTTTTCTGTTGCGTAGCTAGATATTCTGTGCTATTGGTCTTAATCAACCATTAGTAAATCTGGGGGCACGGCAGTGACTCCGCCAAATCGAGCACAGCCGTACCATGCTTTTCTCGAAGGTATTAGCGGCACTTTTGACCACCCTGTAACTTCGTTGTGGATTAAGCAAGAATATTAATTTTCACTACACATGAAGACATACTATTGATTTTTCTTGGTCGTAAGTTCTGATGAACGTTTTCGAGTGTCTTAGACCGTTGGAGGTAATGATATAAAATTTCCAGAAATATATTTTCGGAAATACTTCCGGAAATATTTCCTGAAATATTGGAAATATATGAAATATTTAAAAAAATAAGAAAAACTAAAATATTTATTTATAAAAATCATAACAAAACATCGCAAAACACAAAATGCTTATACATAAACACAAATAAAGAGTTATTCTTCAAATTAAAAAATAAATTAAGGTTAAATTTGAACAAAAAAATATTTTTGACACACTAGTCGAGCAAGAGGCATATCTTCATCGGTGTCATCAGCATCAGGCATATCTTTATCGCTGTCATCAGCATCACACTCAATAACATCTTCTTGCCAGGCTACTTCCTCAAAATCTTCAATAGTATAGGAAATAAAAATTGATCTATTGCCGTTTCCTATTTTCTTCAGCAAGTTTTCATAGTGGGATACATAGAGTTGCTTAGCGGCTCTATCATTAGTAAGCCTGTTTCTCTTTTTTGAATGAATATGCCTATAAACGCTAAAACTGCGTTCCGTGGCAGCCGAAGATGCTGGCATCATCAAAATTCGTGACGCTACTTGTGATAATGAAGATGAAGAACACAGTCCTTTCCACCAGGAGACTGGGTTATCAAAACTACTTTTCCATAGGAAGTTATTTCCAAATAACTTGCCACTTCTACAACGGTAATCTGCTATTTCATCAATTATTTCTTGCTCCTTTATATTGAGTTTATTTTTTGATATATTAAGCATTTTATGGCAAAAAGAATTTGTGTTTCATCAAGTTCAGAACCTTGTGATTTTGGATTTAGTAATTCTGCAGCATAATGAATAGGTTTAATAGCAATTTTTTCTCTTTTGTCAACAAACTCTAACAATTCGGATTTTTCTTTGTCGTCAAGTGAGGACAATGCAAGATTATTCTGAATTACCCTTCTAATATTACTAAATGCTTTTACAGCAAAATGAATAGTGCTATAATCTCCTTATACAATTTTTAACCATTTGCCAATAGGTTCAAAAATGTTAATACCTACAAGCTCGGGACTAAGTTGGTGAATCCTCAAACTCGATATATTCACCATATTATATGTTTGTAAAACTGTTTTATAGTAAGTTTAATGTTTATAGGGTTACAAAATATGATGAGGGTTACAAGATATATTAATAAATATTGGGTTTGAATCGTTGACAAAATTTAAGTATTTTTAAAAATATTTCCAATATTCCCAATATTTCCGAGACACGTTTGTAAATTTCCAATATTTCTATTTACAACACTAGTTGGATGACACCCATTCCAAGTTACGGATGGAGTTTTCCAGATTTTTCAGTTCCGCTTTCAGTTGGTTCCCGTTTGGAAAACAGGACGGTTCAGGTCCATTTAGTGGGAGTGTTCGCTCCTTTCCTAGCTAGATCATTTGCTTTTTCATTGCCTTCTATCCCTTGGTGAGCAAGCACCCAGTTATTTTCTTTGCTTAATTTGTTGAGCTTCTCTAGGCATTCTTTGACCAACTTCGAATTGATGGTTACTGAGTTGATCGCGTTAAATGCTGCTTGACTATCGGATAGGATGGCAATTTCCTGTTTTCGATAGTTCCTATCTAAGATAAATTGTACGCATCTTTCGATAGCGGAAATTTCTGCCTGAAGGATACTGGGGTAGGTCCCTATTGGTTAGGAGTATAGTTTTCGGCCCAAATACTCCTATCCCTGTCCCTGCTTTGGTTTTGGAAGCATCATTATACCACGTTACGCCACGTCTTTTGTATGCTGAGTAAGCGTTTCTTACTTCCAATCCTTTTTATTACTCAATACTACAGTGAGGTGTTTCTCAAAGTTGTAAATTCTTGGTATGTCATCCACTGGGAGTTTGAGAAGTGGAATTTTCTTTTTGAAGGTGTTCCAAGCCCCTGACCTCAAAATTCTCCCAGTACTGTTTCCATCAATTGTTTCCGATAGTTCCTAGTAAGATAAATGTTTCTTTCGATAGCTTTCATAGATTTCTGCTGGAAAGATGCTGGGGTATATAAAAATATAAGTGCCAAATCTTTATATTTAATTTTCTATAGGCATAGGTGTAACTGTATAATTTATCATTGTCACATTATTTATGAAATTCGGCACATTAATTTCCATTGTGTTTAAATGCATACACACACAGGCACACTTACTTCACGTCTGAATTATTTTTTAACTCGTTTGGGTTGGGTAACCATCGAACCAAGCAACGATGCGATTGAATGTATATCGTTATTTAATTTTCATATGTCAATAAACTTTAACTGACAATCAAATAAGGTCACAAGAACCAATTCCATCAAAAACATAGAATGTAAAAAATGTCAAGCCTCGCAACACAATTCTTCCACTATAAAAAGTTGTGAGAACTTTTATAAAGTCAGTTTATTTACTTAGTCTCTCTTTAAGCACCTATTCAACAATTTTGTTATAAATTGTTAGTATAAATGTTATACCGGGTCCTGACCAAGCAGACAAAACAACGACAAGACAGAAAAATTCATGTTTTACGACAAAATTGCGAAAAATCCATTTCTGTGACATTTTTGTCTCATTTTTGTTTTGTTTCAAAATTCGGAGAGGATTTTCAATGTCCCGTCTCGAGTCGGTAAAGATCAAAGTGTTTACGACAAGTTGTCGGCGCAGTGTGGATGGCGTGTGCTGCCAACAGTAGGTGACCATCGAAATCACACATGGTTAATAAAACTCATTCGCAACAACTAAACTTTTGACTTTGTTGTACTTTTGTCCTGCGGTGTGGACAATTTGTCACAAGTTTGTCTTGTTTTTACCCCAAAATCGTGTTTACTTTTTGTCGCCATAGTCTGGACCCGCCATTAGACATCTTGATTTCTCTAATAATTTTAAATACTTGGCAATTGCACGATATATTATATACTAATTAAAAAACTTTATTCTAAAAAGCACTGTTGATTAACTTAATAATAATAGCCACCGGATTGTCTTGACAAAAAAAAAATTATTATTTTTTGAGAAAAATACTTCTTCATAAAAGATTTTGCTTCTTATAAAATGGTTAACAATTTTACAAATTTCTACACCGTTTTGGTGGAAAATAAAAAATATAGTTGAACGGCGTTTCTATAGTTAAATCATTTCGGTTTCATCTTTGATAGATGGTTATTATTAATTCTGAATGATGTTATGTCATAGATAAAAGAAACAAGTTTAGATTGGAATGCTCGGCTTGCCGCCGAAATTTATAATTGTTTTGGATCGCATACGTTGTAGGGCGCTGCTATAGCGGTTGCTAAGAACAACCGCAAACAAGAACAGGAATCATTTTCTCTTGTCAAAGCCCTCATTGAAAAAATACCGAAAAGTGTTTAAATAAGAGTCCATTTTCAAAGTAATAATTGTTATTTTGTCAGTTTAATTTAAATTTTATTTCCTCAAACCCCTGAAAATTGTGAAAAAGGAGCATTAAAAAGTTAAAAAGCTTTGTGAACTGTGAAATGCAAAAACCATCGTGGATCGTGGCATAACGTCCGTCGGTTTCCAATGTTTCATAGGTATTTCGTACATGTCCTGACATAAAATCAAGTTTCTTATAAATATGTAACACACTGTATTTTGTTTAAAAAATTAAAAGAAAATAATAATAAATTTAAGTGAATATTATTTGGCGACTTAATTCCGGAAAAAGCCGAACCGCTCCGTATCAAAAGCTTTGGAGAGCGACCGTTGTAGGAATAGCGCCAAATAGTATTTACATTGTCATTATGGGCACTTTCCAATCTGGCATCGGCCCAGCTACGTCGAAACACCGGTTCCCATTAGAACACCGAAGTTAAGCGACGTAAGGCGATACTAGTGGATGGACGGGTGACCGGTTCGAAACTCTGTATCGTGCTGTTGTCCAATAAAGGCAAAAGTGTAAAATCTATTGACACACGCTGCTCATTCACGCCGGTTCAAGGCCGGATGAGATCGGATATCTCGTGAGTAAGAGTCGATTTAGACACTTGCCAAGTCGGTAGGCCATTGACCATGATATAGCCGAGGACCACGGTTCGGGTTGCGTTGTATATATTGATATGCGTTATACAGGGTGTTTCAAAACAAATGCGAAAAACTTCAGGGGGTGATTCCTTGTTCAAAATAAAGGGTAGTTTGCTTCATAAACGTTGGGTTAAAAGTCAACCATTAGAGAGATATTGCGGTACAAAGATGGCGGAAAAATAATGTTTTTATTTTTTATCTTGAAAACGAAAAGAGATAGACTAATAAAATTTTATGGAAGCATTACTGTTATGAAAACACACTTTCTGGTAATTTTTTCACTTTTTTAAAATGAGTGGAAGGGGTTGAAATAAACTACCCTATCATTCTTGTTAACGAAATTTAAAGAAAAATCTTATCAAACACATGCAAATGCTTTAATTTGGATAGTTTAGTTTGTTTAGAAACTTTTTTATCTCTTGTATTTTTTTGATAAAACTCAGCGATTTGAAATTAAAAAATAAAATGTAAAGCATTACATGTCAGGACAAAAAACATTTTCTGATAAAGAATCTAGTGGGCTGCTGTAATTTTTAGGAAAAAAATCTAGTCGGCCGCTGTTACTTTTAGGATGTTCCTAATATTATTTTATTTGACATTACTCTACTGCAATACGTTATTATCTAGATGATTATTATTATCGTTATTATCACTAGATTCCTAATCTAAAAATGTTTTTTGTCCTGACATGTAATGCTTTACATTTTATTTTTTAATTTCCAATCGGTGAGTTTTATCAAAAAAACACAAGAGGTAAAAAAGTTTCTAAACAAACCAATCTATCCAAATTAAAGCATTTGCATGTGTTTGATAAGATTTTTCTTTAAATTTCGTTAACAAGAATGATAGGGGTAGTTTATTTCAACCCCTTCCATTCATTTTAAAAAAGTAAAAAAATTACCTGAAAGTGTGTTTTCATAACAGTAATGCTTCCATAAAATTTCATTAGTCTATCTCTTTTCGTTTTCAAGATAAAAAATAAAAACATTATTTTTCCGCCATCTTTGTACCGCGATATCTCCCTAATGGTTGACTTTTGAGCCAACATTTATAAAGCAAACTATTATTTTAACCTTTACTTTGAACAAGCAATCACCCCCTAAAGTTTTTCGCATTTGTTTTGAAACACCCTGTATACTTTGCTTTTTTAAATTGTTAAAGAATGGCAAATTTTATAATAATCTTTTCCGTAGCATTTTAACTAATAAGTTTTGTGACAATAAACATAAGTTGATGATCTGCGTAATAATTTTGTTGTAACCCGGTATATAAAATAGTTCCTTTTTTTCCCTTTATTAGAGATGCAGTTCCTAAAGTTTTTTATCTAGACCTTTACGTAAAAATATTTCTGATAATTTAGAAAAAAGAACATCAGAATTTTTGTTCAAGCGAGGCTTTTGCAAATTCTTAATAATTTTATCTATGTTTATCGAATATTTTTTGGATACCTTGCAAATTACATTATCGCCTGAAAATTTGCGAAGCATACTTTAGTAAAATAACACAGAAGAATTTTTAAGCTTTCGAGAATTTTTTGGATGTTTTTATACTAATTCTATTATACCTAATATACAGGGTGTAAATAAAGGGGAACAAACAATTAAGTAGGATATTGATCTTTAAGAAGCAAATTAAAAAAATCGACAGGACACCTGGCAAAAAGAACGAACAACAGATGGTGATGATGATGATGATGATGATGATGATGA